CAGCAAACAACATGCGGCAAGCTGCCTATCATGGCCAAGTGTAGAGAACCTAAACGTGGAACGGCACAGGCGAGTAGCTTGATTTTTTCAGTCATAAAGCAGGGAGTGTATCATATCACACGCTGTGTGCTTTGCCTTCGAGTAGCCCGAAATGACATCCAAGAGTGATGAGTAGCGAAAAAGGCACAAATCTTTAGCTGACCCGTTCACCTCGCACATGGCAAGGGCCAGAATCCCCGAAAGGAGGTGAGTGTAAGGCTAATCTCTGAGATACGTAACTTCACTACAGTGCGGTTCCCCAGGTACTTACAAGCATGGATTCACTGTCGTTCTGTCTCTTCCACCAAATGTTCTGTATATATGAATGCACCCGCTGCTCACTTCTGAGTAAGGCAAATGAATAGTCGAACTAAGTTATGGCTTGCTGTACCCGGCAATGTTTACGGTGTTAGAAATAATACATAAATCATAGCGTAATTCCCCAATGTTCTAGTTACGTAAGCATGCAAGACAACTCACAATGATAGAGTCAAACATATATTTCTTCCTGAACTTTTCCACGCTTACGTCACATCATTACACACATGATTTCGGCTCTTTCACGATATTTGAGTGATTTCAGGTAAAATAGTACAGCAGCTTCACGCTCCTTTGCGAGTCCAAATTATTGACTTCGAATGGGTAACATTCTATTTCTGATTACGGATATATGCATTTTGTCACTTCAAATCGCTACATCCGCAATGAATGGCTGGATTCTCTTCACTCTCTTCAAGTACGTTGCGACCTTTTTTGACCAATGAACGCAGGCTTAACACACCAAAGGCAGCGTGGACTGACGCCAACGCACACTGTCTAAATTCGTTCCTTTCTGGGTCGCAGGTTTGCAGTGTTTTTGTAAGGCGGCGTTCAGACCTCGCGATGACGCGCGTTGATGCGCTGCCATTGCAATGGCGCGCTGAAGCTACAGACGGGACTCCAACGTGAGATCGCGATGGGCTCGCCGACCACTAGTGCTTTAAGATAGTGTGGGACAATGTGAAGGTAGACGCTGCCTAATCACAAAGTCTGCTAGCTAATGGCGTCCGCCGCCAATGATCTGGGAGAGTAATGTATGGAGCAGGGTAGCAGAGTATGATTATCCTCCTCCTACACACTCTCGAAAACACAAGCCACTAACGCCTTTCGATACTCGTCTTCGGGCGCTTTCGACTATAGCAATGGAGCAATGGTATCGCGTTGAAGCGCTGTCTGAGGCTCCGTTGGAGGCGGTTGTCCAACACGTCGCACATGCGAGTCACTTCGACCATCGTCCAGTACTTCATTGCAGTCCTGGTAAAATTTCACAAGAAACTCATGCAACATAACTCTTCCATTTGGCTCTCATCCACCCGTAGGGATCGTGTCAACTGGTGAGGAACCCCGAATCACTGCTTCCGTCCAGTATTGACCATGTAATCTTATTCATTCTTTTTGTTCAGTACTGATGATAAAATCTTTCTAATCTCATCACGCCCCCAACCCCCTCCAACCCAGATCGCCTGCCAATCATGGGTATAAGTACCTGGCCTTCTCCAGAACCTTGCTCTTGGATTGGTTCTTAATTCCGGCTCCCACTCTTGTTGCTGGTGCTCGAGGTCCATCGATTCACTTCTTGGTTCTGAGATTCTCCTCATTCTTCGTTGTGCTGTAGCTAAACTATATTCAGGGTGGGCCCTATTCCTTCTATTCTTTTACCTCAGTTATCTACTGTTACCTCGATCCCCCCCCCCAAAGAAGCTCAAGTTGTGACTCTTAGTGTGCAGTTGATTCTATGGCAATTCTGCCTTTCTGATTCTGTTCCCTTGATTGAATAAACCCTCTCTCTCCCACAGCTCTCTTGGTACCGTCCTTCGTCTAAGGCACAGTTTCCTATGTGGATTTCCGGTACATCTGGTCGAAGCCACTGCTGGGGAAGAAGACGCAATGCGTGAGCAACTAGGATCATCAACAATTTTTTCATGTGGAAACGAAGAAAGACCGTTCCTTCCAGGGTCAAGTATTCGTTAAGGAGTCCTCTATGGGGGCTCGTTACGCAGAAAACAAAAAAAAATAATCAACTGTGAAAAAAAACAGAACTGTGACAGGGTGTGTGTAAGTTGGTACGTTTTGGTTGGAGAATTTGTTATATTGCACGCATTCCCGGTGGAACGACATGTCTGTTGACACTGTTCTTCGAGGTGAAAATTAGTAGAAATCTGAGTGGCGAATGAATTGGAAATGGAATGGAGCCCATAGATAGAGGTCGTGCTCTAAAAACATTCCGTGGGCGTTCCGGGCAATGAGGTAATGGAAATACCAGCATTACAGTGAAAATACCACTGTTTTGAATTTCAGCAGTATTTTACGCTAGGTTATTGAGTTACAGCAGATCCACATCAATTCCAGTAATGTTGAGAACTTCCTAAAATGTGTTGAAAAGTGAAGTTGAAGGAATGTGTTAACGAAGTTATCCCCTCCTAAAGGGTGATCGTGCTCACAAAACGTACTTCCCTCGCCACCGGGAGTGAATCCTCAACGTAAGACTTTTTTCATGCAATGGACTTCTTCGGAAGATTTTAATGTCATTGGAAAACAGGAACCTTATTCTTCTCACCACTGCTTATTGTTTGCCAGAGATCGTCAATTGACGAAGTTGTAGCCAGAGAAAGGTTGAAACGTTTGCAATGAACTGTGTTCGAGGCCAGGCCAAGCCGTGAAGCTTCGTTTGTGACCACCTCAGTACATGTCTGTTAGGAGCTCCAAAGCGATCACGAATTTCGCCTAGGGATTTGCAAAATGTTGTCTTTGAAGGAAGTTACAACCTTCCGGAACGTCTTGACAGTACAACGGTGGTGGTTCGAGAGAGATAGCGCTCCAACGCTGAGTAGTGTCTCAGCAAAAACGTTCCAGCTATTTCGCATGTTCAGATTCTTCATTCAGAAGCAAGAGATTATGGAAAAACACATCACTTCGACTGACAACTTTCCTTGCATTTACTGATTTCCTTCATGCGCTGACAAGTGAGCATTCCTTACCAGGCTAACTTTTGTCTTCAAGAAAGTCAAACAGTTGGCGGACACTTCCTGGCGGACTGCTTTTACTTATACTTCTCTTTTTAGCCCTTCCGTACATAATCTATTTAACGACGCATTGGAGTCCAACGTACATAGACCTCGATCCATATTTCATCATGCTTTCCAGTACACCTTTAACAATTCACTTAAAGATCTATCTAACTCTGACTATATCTATAGCGTTTGAGCGATTACTGGTAAGAATAAAAGAGCGTGTTCCAAACGCTCTTTTCGGAAATCAATTTTTTTAGGCTCTGTTCTTCCTTTTGACCTACCGAAAGCTGCCTTCGTCCAAATATG